ACTCTTAATCAGTCAACCCTAATTGAATTCAATCCAATCCACTTTGATCCTTGGAGGGTATAAGAGTAAAGCTAAATGTATATTTGAATTTTTCATTGTATAACTTATTAGTTTAAAGACATTAAATCTTTTGACACACATACTATATCTTTTATCGAATAAAAAAGAAAGTAACAACTTAAGTTGGTGTTAAGTAGGAGTAGAAATAAGTCAAATTACTCATTAAAACTTATGACCTAGTTCATTTAAGGCCTAATTTAGCCTAGGCTTTATAGATAAAAGGTTAGGTCCATTTAAAAAGAAAATTTTAAACTAAGAGGATTAGATTTTTGATAATTAGAGAAACCTATCATCATTTTTTTTCCAAGGGGGTTCCTAATTAAACATGTTGATAGGAGTTCAATTTTATAATCGTGCATATGAAAAAAAAATTTCATTGAAACAGACAAAACCTATTTGATTGATTTTTCTACACCTTAAAAGAAATAAGTTTTTAACTAAATTGAGGATATTCTTGGTTCAAACAAAAGATAAAAGGAAAAAGAAAAAGAAAAACCTATTAAACTTGATATATATTATAACTACTAGAGAATTATACTTATGACTACAATTATGGTAAATATTTATAAACTAAATCATTTATGTGGTTTTAATCAACTCTAATGTGATAAAGTCATTTGCTCATCATAAATTTATTAGTTTATTTAGTGATTGGCTTGTAAACTTAATAGTTTGTTTAATGTAATATTTCATTTTTTTATAAAATATAATATAAGTGATTAATTAATAATTTTGGTATTTTTTATTTTAATTAATGAAGTTGTTTAATATTTATTTTAATTATTTGATATGTTTTGGAATATAATATAAGGTGTTTTAATTTAATATTTTATTTAATTAAATAAAAGGGAAGGGAATCATAACTAATATTAATACATTTTAACTAGAGATTAAAGAGAATTAAATTTTAAAAGAATAATTTCTCTCAATTAATTTTATAATTCTTTCATTTTACATATGCGTTATTTCACACTTTAAAGCTCAAAGAACAAGAGCAAGAAGGAAATCACTCCAAGACTATACGTTCATCTTCTTCCACTTACCAAGGTAAGAGGGTGAGAAACATCGCTCTAGGTGTGAGATTGTGTGTTAGATAATAAAATTAGTCTCCAATCCTATCTCTATTGTATGATTATGTATAAGGAGTTTTCCTACATATGTCTTTATCTTTTATTTATTCTTGTGTGTTCTAATTGATGTTAATTGTATGTATATGTTGTTAATTTTGAATTCTTGTCTTGTAATTGCATGTTTTGGTGCCCTTATGAGTACTTGTGGAAAATCCTAAGAGAATGCATTAATAATTATATGAGGAGATTGCTTACATATGTAATTGTATGCATGAACTATGTTGTTTAAGATGCTTATTACATGATTTGGAATGTTTCTACAGATTGAAGGGTCTCTTTTGATGAATTTTGGTGATGGGACGAGTTTTGGAATCCAAAGAGTCAAAAATTGCACTGTTAGATTCTATCACAAGTGTGATCAATGAGTCATGATTATGATTGGTCAATCACAGGCTGATCGGGTGTGATTGATTAGTCACAAGCGTGACTCATTTAGATCTTGACCCTTTGGATTTCATTGAGCCGGGCGTGACTTGTATCATGGTTGTGATCTATTAATTTTTCTCATTCTTTTCTTGTCTTTTCTTACTTTTATCACCCTTTTTTACTTAAGATGAGTTTTATTTATCAGTTTGACATACAATATATGATACTTATGTATGAACCATGTATGGATTGGATGATGTGTTCCCTTAGATCTTGATACCATGAGAAGTTTAAGCAAAGCTTAGCCATGATGTGGTTATGAAATGAAATGAATTGAGATACAACCATGAGAATGTATTGTTGTAATATGATGAGGTATTGAGTCTATTTGACATGAATCATATGCATAAAAGTATTTTTAAGGGTACGATATGGAATACACTACCAGGGAAGGTCCCCTTGTGTCAAAGCTTAAGGATCAATCCTTGGGGATAACTTGGTTTGGAAGTCTCCGTCTCACCCTATATGTGGATGGGATGTATCTTGCACAACTCAGCTATCTCGATCAAACCCTGATAGTATGTCCTCCTAATGAGAGTGCACAAAGGGTGTTATTTGGTATGTACTTTTAGATTATTTTACGTATATTACTAGTGGCAATGCATACATGTGATGTTTTTACTAGCATCACATGTATGATAATATCTTATCTGTGTCCATTGCAAAATACATTATAATGTTATCTATTATTGTTTATTATGCTATGAATTAAACAAGTGTGATGATAATACTTATATCTGTATGTTATGTTGTGTTGTATTGTATATCTTGTTTGTATTTGTCTATCTGATTTATATTCCTGTATCGTGAGATAGAGTGAGATATTTCTCACTCATTTTCTTTTGTGTTGTTTTCCTTTGAATGTTATACAAGTGATCATCAACATGAGACTGAAAATGTTGGTAATCAGGCTCAAGCTTCAGTGTGAGGTTTTGTTCTAATAAAACATGTGATATCAGGACATAAATAGGATTATATTAGGATGTTGTTTCTGTTGATTTATTTTTAGATACACATTAGTTTTATTTTCTTGTAATTTATATTAATTATGTTATTTTGCTTAAGTTAAGAATGTAATATTTTCTATCCGAAAACTTTTGATTTAATTTATAAAAGATTATATTATTTAGTTTTTATTATTTATATGTTATGACATGTGGGGTAGAGGATGATACATTTAGTAATATATAAATGTATTGACTTATTTAAGCATAGACCCATCAAATTATTTAAATATTTCAAATAAAATAAACTTTTAAACAAACTATCAAATTATACTAAACTTACATAATTTTCGGAAGATACCTAAGAAAAATAGTTTGGGCTAACAAGTCATTTTTAAATCGCAAGATTATGAAGTAAGATAAGTCAAACTTAACAAAACCTAAGTTGACTTGACATGTTTTAGAGTAGTAGTGTTAAATTTTAGAATAAACCTAACGGGAGTTACTACTTTATAATGTACTCTCCGTTCCAAAATATTTGAAAAAAGTCTAAAAAATATGTTCTTAGTTTTGTTAATTTATTCCCTAATAAATTATTTAACTACTATAATTAAAGTATTGTATTTATTAAAAGAGTGAAAATCTTTTAGTAAAATTATACAAAAAAGTAACATTTATTATATTAATTCTTATTCCTCTCTTCCTTCAACCTAATTCACTTCATTTGGTGGTGGGGATTAAGTATTTTGGTCTGAAATATTACTTTGCGGCTGAAGAATAAAGAAAGAAGGTGGTGAGATTGAGACATATGTCCACCCGTGAAGTGGGTCGGCAAGGGTGGTGGGAGGCACTCACGAGACCAAATATGGAACAGTCAGAACTCCAATAAAGTGAAACCTTTCGGTCCCATTCCATTAACTATAATCCAACATTTTCTCCTCTATTATCATCTGCTTGCTCCATAATTTTTATATCAAAAGAATGTGTCTTTCATTTTTGTTGATAAATAATTTGTAAGTCCTTTTATAAACGTTAGAGTCTTAAGAATCCAACTTATCTTAAAACATTCAAGCACAAAAATAAATTCCAACATTTTCTCCTCTATACATTATAGTATAATCCAACTTATTCACTGCAGAAATAAGGTTGTTACATAGTACTTATAAGTATATTTGTAACACCTTGGACAGCATATAATCCCTAAAAATGAAAAAGAAAAAAGAAATAGCTTATGTAATAGATAACATTCCTCTCGGTGCTACGTTTAACGACCCTAGATACAAAGGAGAACTCTATAATTAGTTCCTCTCTGCCCCTATTCTTTGTTCATTGCCAAAAGATGAGAGTTACAGCATTCATTATACATTTAATATAAATGTTTGAAGTGTATGAGAACATGTGGGCGCAATAAGATAGGAAAATGAAATTGTACCATATGGAATAATGAACATGCATGTGCCGTTAACCTCTCGTGACACATATGATGAGACGAGGCATGGAAATGGAATTGATAGATAAAAAATGAAGACGCAAACAGTGTTTGGTTTCTAGCCAGAATAACTTGATTTTAGATAAAGTTTCAAATATTGAATTGAAGTAACATTAGTTAGCTTTTACGTTGGATAAAAAAATTTATACAAAGTTTTATTACTAAGTTGTTTTTAACCAAAATTTATAACATGTTTTGAAATACGTTCTGAATGGTGAAATCACGTTTAGGATGTGAAATCCGCAACTCTGAAAAAATATTAGCTTCTAAAAAATCACATACAAAATGTGAAAACGTAAAACTAAACAAGTTAGATTTAAAATCAGTTTTACCGATATTCATCCAAACACTATTTATGGGACTACAAATATATGAAGGTTGACTTTGTTAGACATGAGATTAGAGACTACAAAAGTTTGTCTAGAGATTCCAAGCAGGGAATTAAACGGTTTTGGCTTCATTTGAAATTTCATTGATAGCATATTGATAAATTCGTATAAATATTTTAAATAAAAAAAATCGTTAATAAATGCTTCATCAACTAATAAAAAAAAGGCACAAAGGAAAAAAACTCTAAACATATAAATGAAGCGTTTATAATTTCAGAGAATAGCTACTTGAATATTCCTTAACAAGTTCTGTTGAAGAAAAACCTTCAAAGTGATCATAAGGAAAGAAAATAAGCATGCACTCAATTTTTGTGGAAGTAATGATGTCAAACACAACTTTTCCAAATTGCAACTAAGGATCAAGACTTGCACTACCTATCATTCTTTTGGTATGTCATGCCCCCTCAAGAAAATTACTTATCTTTTTACCCATAAAAATAACAATCTGAGTACATGATACAGGGCTGCTATGTTTCTTCGCTTCAAGAAAAACAAAATAAATTTTGTGTACTTTTTTATGTTTTTTATCTTTTAGGAACCAATGAACGTAGTGACCATAACATTATGTTCCGCTATAAATACTTGTAGTAGCTTCACTCTCCACACATACCAAAAACAATTCTAAAGTTCTTTTTCTTATGATGGAGCTGTTGTGGAAAACTCATAAGAGGGTACACGTGACACCATTTTTCCTCCTCTCTTACTCTATCCACTCTTAGAAGTATTCTCATATTCTGTTCTTAGTATATGCACAACTTTAGTGCATATACTTACAACTTCATTTTCTAACAATCTATTTTCATGGATGTATTGTCTATGCAGGTGATTAGGATAGCTTTTGCTCTCCTTTTGGTTGTGCTGAGTTCAGAGAGAGTAGAGAGTAGAAAGGCCAAAGTTGTGACCACTTCCTTAGAGTACAATGCTATAAACTGCAGAGCTCACAGTGCTTCATTGACAGATTTTGGTGGTGTTGGAGATGGAAAAACTTCCAACACAAAGGCATTTCAGTCTGCAATAAGTCGCCTGAGTCAGTATGCTTCTGAAGGTGGTTCTCAGCTCTACGTTCCTGCAGGAAAATGGCTCACTGGTAGTTTCAACCTCACAAGTCACTTCACTCTCTATCTAGACAAAGGTGCCGTTCTCCTTGCTTCTCAGGTATCCCATTTCTACACCTTTGATATGAGGTTTTACAGCATAGTAAGTTTTCATTTTGTGCTTTATGAAAACACTTTATGAACTCCACCGCCTTCTGCCCAAACTATTAGCTCTGATACCAATTGTTGAGAGTACTAGAGGAGTTAATACTAGAAATACCTCCTTACAATGGATGATGAACAAATCATATAAATGAGTTTGACATCACTTCTTAATTAAAAACCTGAAGGCATTAAGTCTTTCTCATTTATATGTTCTTCAACGTATCTAACACTATTTGAAGTGAGACTTTCATTCATACTTGCACATCAACACTATGTACGTCATTTTGGGTTACCCCACAAATTTTCACCACATATATGTTAGATCAGAGACTTCCATGTGTTAGAATCTGTTGTTTTATGAGCACTAAAATAAAGTCTTTCACAATTTTCACCCCTCACATAACTGTCAAGCTTTTGCTTTTCAAAGTGGTATTATTGTTCCAAAGCCTTTCTTTCGAAGTGGTATTATTATTACTCACAAAGCTACCAAAATCTTTTCCTGATGCTTTTTCTACTGACTCTGGTGTTTGAGATAGTGTTGTTGTACCAATCACTTGGCTTCATCTGCCTGTGCTTGCACCTTTCCTTTTGGCAGTATTTTGCTGCAACTGTTTCCAAGTCTGATGACACTATGACAGAACAAAACAAGCAATGAAATACATTAAGAGATGCTCTAAAAATTCATTAGTTTTATAGCATGACAGGAAACATCAGGAGAGATTTCATTGGAAGAAAATCAAAGACTCTTTGAATTTTCTTGTTTTTTTTGTTGACAACCAAATTAAATTCATTGGACAATAATGAGCCTCTAGTTATCTCTTTCCACCATATCAGTCCTTACAGAAATAAAGTAATAGTACTTGTTGTAACTTTATGTCCAAATTAAAATTTGAACTCTGATCTTTATTAAAGAATATAAGTGTTGAACCTAATGTGCAAATAATTTTTAGTTGCTGTTATTTGTCACCATCATAGACTAATTGCTCATTTTTTAAAACGGGAATAGAGAATTTAAAAGGGGTTCACGTGAGTTACAAAAAGGGAAGATGTCAGATAAATAATATGTCACAAGTTTCCCCACTTTCTACCGAGAATATGAGAGCATTATTAGGTTCATGAGAGCAATATTCTTAAAAAATTCAACAATACACATAGTCCAAAAATCCCACACCAACTTCTTTATCATGGCACTTTTGGCCTATTCGTACATCCAGACAACAACTTCAACAGTGTCATAGAGTGGTCCATTACACATTTGTCTTGTGTTTTCTAGGACAACGGTTCCAAATGTGGCACATTTTTGGCACTTTCATGTGTGCTTTTGCTAACTCTATTTGTATTAAAAAAAATGGTTTAGGATATAACTGAGTGGCCTGTGCTTGAACCCCTCCCATCATACGGTAGAGGAAGAGACGCACCAGCAGGAAGATTCACAAGCCTCATATTTGGCACAAACCTCACTGATGTTATTGTCACAGGTACGAGGCAAAAAGAAAGTTTCAGTTATATGTATCCAAAGGGTTTCAGTTCTAATTACCAAGATTTGTTTCCTCCCATATTTTTTATGACTGAGCATATAATTATTGATCACTATACAAAATATTAATATGACGTGATGATAAAGAAATGAGTTTAATAAGCATATCCATTGATAGAAGCTTTTTTAGACCGTGAATCAATCAAAATGTATTCTTGATATAATTTTTAAAGTAATTAGAAGATTATTAATGACACTCTTTATAATATACTTTCTTTTCAACATTTTGATATTGATTAAAATTTATTGAAAATTACAAATTTTATTGAGTCATATTATTAAATTAGATGAGAGACTCGTTAAAAGAGACGTAAGATCTAGCAAAATTTATAATTTTCAATAAATTTTAGTCAATAATAAAGAGCAATAAAATTTCTATTAAATGTTTATGTAAAAAACTAAAAATATTTTACATTGATGTATATAAATTAAACTCTTAAAATTAGATTAGAATATATTCTTCTTCTTTTATGATGATGATGTAATATCAATCATGACCCTTTTGTTCACAGGTGAAAATGGCACCATAGATGGTCAGGGTGAGTTTTGGTGGCAGCAATTTCACAGTAAAAAGCTGAAATACACTCGGCCGTACCTGATTGAATTAATGTTCTCAGAAAACATTCAAATCTCAAATTTAACTCTCCTCAATTCCCCTTCATGGAATGTTCATCCTGTTTACAGCAGGTAATCCCACTTGTCTTCAAGTCTTATATAAAAATGTGCTTAGATATACATTTCATCAGGCAACACTGATATAGTTACTCTCGAACTGTCTTTTATTTTCAAGAATATAACAAAAATTTCAATATGATGCAGCAATATCATTGTACAAGGCATCACCATTTTTGCTCCTGTCAAATCTCCAAACACTGATGGCATCAACCCAGGTCAGTATTTCAAATTCTTCGAATATAGAATAATGTATAGCAAGCAAGTATTGGATTCAATGAAGTTTATGTAACCATAGAATAGAGTTTTGTTTGGATTGTTAAATAAACATTTGCCCTAACTCTTTTTTTTTCTTCAGATTCTTGCACAAATGTGAGAATTGAAGATTGTTATATAGTTTCTGGGGATGACTGTGTGGCTGTTAAGAGTGGATGGGATGAGTATGGCATAAAATTTGGGCGGCCTACCAAACAGCTAGTGATCAGAAGACTAACATGCATTTCACCCTACAGTGCAACCATTGCCTTGGGAAGTGAGATGTCTGGTGGTATCCAAGATGTGAGAGCTGAGGACATCACAGCCATCCAAACAGAATCAGGGGTCAGAATCAAGACAGCAGTAGGGAGAGGAGGGTATGTGAAGGACATATATGTGAAGAGAATGACCTTGCATACTATGAAATGGGCATTTAAGATGACTGGTGACTACAACTCACATGCTGATAGCCACTATGACCCTAATGCATTGCCTGAGATAAAAAACATCAACTACAGAGATGTTGTGGCTGAAAATGTGACCATAGCTGCGAGGTTTCAAGGAATATCCAATGACCCCTTTACAGGAATCTGCATTGCCAATGTGACACTTGGGATGGCAGCCAAGGCCAAGAAGCAACCATGGACCTGCACTGATATTGAAGGGATCACGAGTGGAGTGACCCCTCCACCTTGTGGTTTGTTGCCTGATCAGGGGCCAGAGAAGATCAAAGCATGTGATTTCCCTGCAGATAGTCTACCTATTGACATGTTGGAGCTTAAGAAATGCACCTACAGCATGACATATGTTGTAATGTAGTAGTCTATGTAAGTTGTTGATTTAGGAGTAGTCTTTCTCAGACTATCAAGTAAGCATTTCTCAAGTTAAGAAGTGAATGGTATTTCAAAATATAGAAATGAAAGGGTTTTCTTTTCTTCTCTCCTTGTTTGTGGAACTTGATGGCTTGATGCTGCTGTAAGTTTTAAAGTTAATATTATCAAAATTTTCTGTTCAAGTTTTGCCATGAGTATCCCATGCATATTCATTCAAATTAAGCATAAAACTGAAAAGACAAAAAGAGTGATCATGGCAGGTGAGCAAGAGCAACCCAAGGTAGTTTCTGAAAACATTTTCAAACACCAACAAACCATTACATTTTTTATGTCATACAATGGGATAATGTCTGTCCCCACAAATGAAAAGTTTATGATAACAACCTTGGAAGAACTGCACCACAAAAACTAGTTGTAAATTGTAGAGCAAAAAACCTCATTAACCTCACACTAGAATCTCATACTTTTGATATGGGACTCAAATAATATACCTGGCAATTGGATCATAAGAGTTTCCTTTCATAATATAACTGTCTAAATTCTAAAAGATGGAGAAACTGACAGCATCAGTTAACAGCACTAAAGTGTTTGTCCTAGTCTAAGCTGAAGGATAGAAATACAACTACAAATGAGTCAGGATATTTCTGCTGAAACCTTCAAGTAATGCTGCTTGGCTTTTAATATTCCAACAGTACATCTCAACAATACATTATCCAAGAATGTGAAATAATAATCAAATGAAAGACAACCTCACAAAGTCTCATTAAATAATATAATTTAACAAAAAAAATCTCAGTATATCCAATATGCTAAATACTTTTGTGGAGAACAGACAACTCCCCAGCAGTGTTGTAAACCAGTCAAAACCTATTTCACTATGCACATACAATAATAAATGCAAAATATCAATAAATCGTTGGATCAGGATTGCATATCACAGATTCTCTCCAAATGAGTTCCTTGATATCTTCTTCAGTGAATGATGGTTGCTCAAAATCAAAACTGAAAGGTCTAACACAAACAGGTTCTTCATTAATATCATGAAGAGGTGCCAAGTAAGGGTGGCACAGAGCCTCATCAACTGCAAAGCATGATAACGTACCATTAATAAAAATATAGACAAAAAGAAAATCTGACGCAAGAAACGATAGAATCTTTGCCAAATGGTCAACTGTATCACAAGCAGTAAGCAGGCTCTGCATATATATATATATATATATTTAACATTTTCAAATTAATAGAAACTTAGAAAATGAATACATAATTGAGATGATAATTTTGCTTTGGATACCCAATTAGTTTGAATTATAAGCAACGCTTAGGATATGGACAGAATTAAACGGCTTCACTGAAGAATTGGTCTTGGACAAAAGACAATAGCATAGATGTAACCAACCCCTCTGGTGGAAAAAGGTTACGGTTGTTATTATTTTCGTTGTAACCAACATTTAATATTCAATGTTATCAAAGACGAATACATATTTTCATATTCAGATTTCAGCTACAACTTCATGGGCATGGTAATGGTATAGCACTATTTCAAGTTAATCATGGTACGAATATTTAAACGAGATGAAATACAAACTACAGTAAGAAGAAAATGAGTATACGCACGCACTTAACCAATAACAACCTGGTCATTGATTTGGTTGTTCTAACTTAAAGAAATTTGCAGAGGTCAGCAAACTCTACATTGATTTTAAAGGGCAATTTATAAAACAAAATCACAAGGATTGCACCTAAAATAAGAAAGAAAAAAAATTATATCCTTTTACCTGTGATACGTCTATTTGGATCAAAGACAAGCATTTTTTCTAACAAATCAACAGCACCAGGAGACATGCTTGGAAATCTAGCAGCAAATTGTTTCCTTGGATATTGTGGAAGCTGTCTCACATATCTACGAGCATTATCACTTCGTAGAAATCCAAGGCTAGTGTCATCAGGTGAACCTATGAGCTTTTTAAAACAAGGAAAATTTGTCAAACTTAAACTAATTTTTAAATATGAAGACCAAGTCTGAAAATGAGAGATAAGTTGCAATCAGTAGGGAAAAATGTACAACTTAATGCAAATTGTGAGATCGAAGCCAGCTGGAACCTAATGACTTATCTATCCAGTCATATTTTACCCATTTTTTTATTTCTCAAAGTTGAAGTTCTCCACCTTATGTCTACCCTCCCCTCCCCCCCCCCCCCCCC